GCCCACCGGCGCGGGTGTAGCCCGCCTCTTGCCCTCTGTCAGCTGGGATCAGCTCCAGCCCCCCGTGACCGCCAGAATAAGCAGCTACAGCTGCACTCACATTCATTCATACTGTATGTGTGGGTCTCCATGGTGCACTAAATGAAAAAATAAGTCAATAAGTGATGCACCAGCTGCAAAGGGCCACCAGAGGGCGGTGCTGATCTGACTTTCTTTTCCTTTGTCAAACAGGATGTAAACTCAGTGGAGGAGTTGGGTGGTGGTGGGGTGACAGGCCCAGACAGGCAGGTCAGGCAGAGGTGGGGCCAGAGAGAGAGAGAGCCAGAGGAACCTGTTTGTGTGACTTGGACTCGTTCCTTCAGGAGCAGAAGAGAGAAAACACAAGGAGCAGGATGGCTGGATCTGACTTTTACTGTAGGTAAAACACAACTCCATGTGTTTGTCTGTCTGCCTATCCACTGGACTGAGTTGGAGTTTGAACTTTTCCGTTTTGTCTTCTTGCTCTTTTGCGATTGACCTGTCTTTGTTTTTTTTTTTCTGTGTCAGTTTTGTCTCGGTGGTTGGGACTTTAACTTTAAAAACTTACCTTCACTGCAAAAGCCTGAAATAAAATGGTTCCTTTGTGTTTGTAGAACCTTTGTTGAAGGGACCAGTTCTCACACCTTTATTATGGGAACTGTTTATCTGGGTCAGTTTGTGTTCAGACTCTTTCAGAGAGGTGTCGATTCACTTGTGTGGTCACTGGGGAGGCTGCAGTTTGCTGCTGTTCACCTGGACTGGGCTATACAGGGAGCTGCTTCTGGTGTTTAGCCTCCATAAATGTGCTGGGAGACATCCAGACTCGAGCCTGACATAATATCAGTGAAAACATCACATGACTCAATGTGTTCCAGCTTTTCCTAATGCATGTGCAGGAGTCAGTGAGGGAAACTGCAGCACTGTGCTGAGTACTGCTGAGTACCGCCGTGTACCGCTGGGTATGTGCAATACTTTGTTCACTTTATGGCTTTTATTAGAAATGTATCTGAAGATAAAGTTTAATTTCTACAGAGGTGATACAAACTTAAATGTTCCTGAAGTATTCAGTACTACTGCATGTGACACCTGTGACTGTACCATCATCACACCTGAACAAAACTACAGACTGCTTCTGAATGTGATTTCTGAGCAGGTGGTAGAGGTTCTTGATGAGGGTACAGAGGTCCTTTAGGATTTAGGAGTTGTCCTTAAGCAGGTGGCCGAGGTCCTTGGGGATGATACTGAGATCACTGAGGGAGATGTAGATGTTTTTCAGCACGTCATGAAGTTGTAAAGGTCCCTGAAGGAATTGTAAAGATCACTGAGCAGGTTGCAGACATCTGTAATGCCGTACCAGGGGTCTCTGAGGGGTTTCTGATGGTGCTTAGGTGATTTGGGGGGTCCTTGAGTGAGCTAACTGCTAACAGAGTGTGACACAGCCCTTTCTGAGGCTACCTGCAGTTTAATGACCAGGATAAAACTGTTAACAGACAGCTGACAGCCAATCAGAGAGCAGGGCTTCTGTGTTCCTGGTGAAAGCAGTGAACATGTGGAAGCTGGTGTGCGTCAGTCAGAATGTGCACACACACATTCAGAGATAAACACACTCCCCGTACATTCTCTTTGGTTTCCAGGCCTGTGCTGATGATTTAAACTCGGTTACTTCCATCTGGTGTTTGTGTGTCTGTGACCGCACCCGCTAACTGGGGTGAAGGTTGTGTTCAGTGCTCAAATAAACCCTTATAGGCTGTTGGGGATGTCACATGACACAGAAACATGGTGAAGTTGGATCCTCTCACTGACCTGTTTCCTGCTGGAATTCTCCTTTAGATTCTGATTGGTCCATGGACGTGTCCCACTGCAAGCCTCGACCTCAGTTTGATGATTGACAGCTTAGTTTATTTTGTCATAAGGTTCAGCCCTGTGCCGAGCAGGGGTGTGTGTCTGTGGGTTAGAGTGTGTTACTGTGTGTCTATGTGTATGTGTGTGTGTTGCATAGCAGCCTGGCGGGGTGGGTGTGGCCAAGATACAGAGTTAAACGAGGAGGGAGGGTGGTATACATTCCAGCACACACACCTGAGTCACACCTGTCTCAGGTGTGTGACTCAGAGCAGGTTTGATTGTTTACCTCCATGGAGCTTCTTAAAGGGCCAGTCGGTGTTTTTTCATGCGGTCCATCCTGTCACGTTGTTCTTCCTGCCTGGACACACAACATGCGGGGCGGGTGACGCCTGAATAATTAAACTTGTAAATGTCTCCCACCACCCAGCGAGGCCTTCCGCAGCACTTCACACCTGTGGGGAGTCTTCAGCTGCAGAAACAGAGATGAAGTTTATCGTTTAATGACCAGGATAAAACTGTTAACAGACAGCTGACAGCCAATCAGAGAGCAGGGCTTCTGTGTTCCTGGTGAAAGCAGTGAACATGTGGAAGCCG